AGTCAATTGGGACAAAGTAAGCCATTATCCTGCTTCGATGTGTAGCATCATCGCTCAGGCCTATCGAGATGTTTACATTGGCAAGGACATGGCCAAGTCCACACTCCCAGCATACCGGTTTTTCGAGCCTGGCATGACAGAAATCCGATATTCCATGAAGAAACTGCTTGAGAACCCAGTTTGAACCGTCGTTGTTTTCTCCATTCTTTCCTGCCTGGGATAAGCTCCAAAAAAAAAAACAGAGATGCCAAGCTAGCTGCCAGAGCCCGATCAGGCCTGGACGTGCGATTTTCAGTGAGATGATGAGCCGATGGGCCATGCAATTGAGATTCAGCCAGCGAAAGGGGGTGCGAATGTCATACACCTCTTTCGATGCGTATTCATTGTTTGGTCGCTGGCGGACTCTCAACCAATCACTAATCACTTGCTGCAAGCTACGAGCAAATGTTGCCCCAACAAAACAAAAAAAAACAAACTTGCTTTTAGCAAAGTCTTCAAGTCTATTTGACTTCACGTGATACTATATCAAATCATACCCACATGCGTGAGCAAAGCGACAGCCATTTAAGTATGACACTTGGATCTAGAGATTTGCTTGTTTTCAGCATGCCATCAATCCCTTTGAGCGCTCCTCCGAACACCTCAAAACTCTTTACAACCTCCTCCAAGACAGTAAGCTGAACTTGCTTGATGATGCTGTAAACTCATCCTATGCCATTCAGCTTGCATTGCCAGCTTGGAATAATTTTCTCCGAATTTTTCAAGTGATTTCAGAGATTTGTGAAAGTGTCTTTTGCTGCATAGCATGTGACACGTTTTGTGCGATTTGAGCAAGTCGTATGCAGTTTAGAGCTTGATTTCCAACTTTCCTGACAGCGCGTTCAGATTTCGAACGCGGAACAGTGATTTCAATCTTTGACAGAGCATTGAGATTTCGAACGCGGAATTCACACAGTGATTTCAATTTTGGAGAAACATTTAGACGTGCGAAAGAGGAATTTATAATCAGCTGCGGTACAGCTTATGAGTTTGAAGCTTCTCAGAAATCGTTTTGCGACGTTTCCACGGTTGAGACTTTTTTGAACATCCTGATGATCTCCTATTGTCTTGCGTTTCCTGGGTCCAAGCAATCTGTGAGATCGAAGTTTTTGAACCGCTTTTGATCACATTTCCAATTTGAGAGCCGTGCAAATTTGCAAGAGTTTTTTTTCCGAACTAGAGTAAGCAGACATGACGTCTGAACCGAATGTGAGTTTGGAAACAATTAGAGAATTTGACCGCAACCAAGCTTTCAGCTCTCCCTGTTGCCACAGCATTGTGAACATGCTCAGCCGCATCGTGCTTCCTTTGATCAATGAGATCAGCATTCCGCCAACAACATGTTGGCTCAAGATTAGGAGGCGTAAATTCTGCTAGCACAGTGAGACAAAAAGGGCGTGAGTTGTCAAGCAGAGTTGTCCACATTCTCAGTTGCAATTATCTACTCTTCTGGGGTGATAATTCTCGCAGGTGGTGCTGGTGGTGGTGGTGGTGGTGGTGGTGGTGGTGGTGCGAGAATTATCACCCCAGAAGAGTAGATAATTGCAACTGAGAATGTGGACAACTCTGCTTGACAACTCACGCCCTTTTTGTCTCACTGTGCTAGCAGAATTTACGCCTCCTAATCTTGAGCCAACATGTTGTTGGCGGAATGCTGATCTCATTGATCAAAGGAAGCACGATGCGGCTGAGCATGTTCACAATGCTGTGGCAACAGGGAGAGCTGAAAGCTTGGTTGCGGTCAAATTCTCTAATTGTTTCCAAACTCACATTCGGTTCAGACGTCATGTCTGCTTACTCTAGTTCGGAAAAAAAAACTCTTGCAAATTTGCACGGCTCTCAAATTGGAAATGTGATCAAAAGCGGTTCAAAAACTTCGATCTCACAGATTGCTTGGACCCAGGAAACGCAAGACAATAGGAGATCATCAGGATGTTCAAAAAAGTCTCAACCGTGGAAACGCCACAAAACGATTTCTGAGAAGCTTCAAACTCATAAGCTGTACCGCAGCTGATTATAAATTCCTCTTTCGCACGTCTAAATGTTTCTCCAAAATTGAAATCACTGTGTGAATTCCGCGTTCGAAATCTCAATGCTCTGTCAAAGATTGAAATCACTGTTCCGCGTTCGAAATCTCAATGCTCTGTCAAAGATTGAAATCACTGTTCCGCGTTCGAAATCTGAACGCGCTGTCAGGAAAGTTGGAAATCAAGCTCTAAACTGCATACGACTTGCTCAAATCGCACAAAACGTGTCACATGCTATGCAGCAAAAGACACTTTCACAAATCTCTGAAATCACTTGAAAAATTCGGAGAAAATTATTCCAAGCTGGCAATGCAAGCTGAATGGCATAGGATGAGTTTACAGCATCATCAAGCAAGTTCAGCTTACTGTCTTGGAGGAGGTTGTAAAGAGTTTTGAGGTGTTCGGAGGAGCGCTCAAAGCGATTGATGGCATGCTGAAAACAAGCAAATCTCTAGATCCAAGTGTCATACTTAAATGGCTGTCGCTTTGCTCACGCATGTGGGTATGATTTGATATAGTATCACGTGAAGTCAAATAGACTTGAAGACTTTGCTAAAAGCAAGTTTGTTTTTTTTGTTTTGTTGGGGCAACATTTGCTCGTAGCTTGCAGCAAGTGATTAGTGATTGGTTGAGAGTCCGCCAGCGACCAAACAATGAATACGCATCGAAAGAGGTGTATGACATTCGCACCCCCTTTCGCTGGCTGAATCTCAATTGCATGGCCCATCGGCTCATCATCTCGCTGAAAATCGCACGTCCAGGCCTGATCGGGCTCTGGCAGCTAGCTTGGCATCTCTGTTTTTTTTTTTTTGGAGCTTATCCCAGGCAGGAAAGAATGGAGAAAACAACGACGGTTCAAACTGGGTTCTCAAGCAGTTTCTTCATGGAATATCGGATTTCTGTCATGCCAGGCTCGAAAAACCGGTATGCTGGGAGTGTGGACTTGGCCATGTCCTTGCCAATGTAAACATCTCGATAGGCCTGAGCGATGATGCTACACATCGAAGCAGGATAATGGCTTACTTTGTCCCAATTGACTGCATTGAATGCAACGTGACTTTCACAATTGCACTCTGTGTGATTTGCCAACGATCTGGCTAAACTTGGATGGGTTCCCAACCACAAGAAAATCTTTCCAACCTTAGGATCTGTTTCAGGAAAACCGGAAAGCCGAGGGAACTGTGCATAGATATGGCGACCTACTTTCACAAAGAAATCTGCCATGAACTTACTGTTCCAATACCTATTTCTCTTGGGTAGCTCGAAAGTGAACTCATCTGCTGCAACGGCGAGGCTTTGGCTCAGTTTCAAAATTTGTTCCAACTCAGAAACTTGCGTTGATTCAATGGGCTCAGCATCTGCTGGGATATATTCAGGCGTGTCTGAATTTCCTGAAGGCTGAAGGGAGAAATGCACATAAACAGGCTTACCTTTCTTTGAAAATCGCTGCACAAGATCACTGAGCTGGGCATGAAACATTGTGAAATCTGCCCTTGTGGAAACTCGGACGACTGCCATTTGAATGTCTCCACAAAAACTGGCTTGAATCGACTCGGTTAAATTGCTGTTCACACCGCAACATATTTCCAAGAAGATCCCTGAAAACTTACTAGGCGACAATTCCGGTAAATTGGCTTCTTGTGTTTCTAAGATCAAGCTCAATGGTTGTGAAGCAAACTGTGATGGATCTGATTTCTGGGCGTCTGGCACAAAGACTGTGGAAGCAAGCACGTGCTCTTCATCTTGGGAGTTCGACTCCAAAGACTGAACATTTACTGGCTCCGGCCTACCCCCATACAAAATGCTTTGGATTTGATTCGTCTTTCCTTTCTTCTTTTTGGCTGTCTGCTTTGTTTGGGGTTCAGATTGTTGGTCTGCCAGTTTGGCTGGAAGTTCTGCTGATTCAATGAATCCCATTGATGTCCTGAATTTCAAAAACAGCTTCATTCCTAAACACTTGGTCAAAATATCTGCAATTTGCTGTGAACCCTCGACCCATGTGAGAATGATGGTTCTTCTTCGGACCATCTCTTGGCAGAAACAAATTCTCAACTCAACATGGCGACTGCGTCTTTGGAGCCCTGGTGAGGTCAGGACTCGGATGGCTGCTTGGGAATCACAACGGACTTCCACCTCAATGGCTGTGGCATGTTCAAGGTCTTCATCAACTAATCCAAAAATCAGGGAGTTTGCAAGACCGTGTATTCGATCTGAAGCTTGAAAACTTTCATGGATGTTGGTCACATGCGCGTGAGTTTCTAGAAAAAGATGCTCAGAGATACGCTTGATTCCCATGCTCTCTTGAAAGGATTCAGCTAATGCTGACAGTTCCGACTCGCAACTTGAAAGTGCGACCACTTGTTGCAATCTTGTGAAAGCTTTGATGGACCCGCGATAAAAAAACGCACGCGCCAGAAATTGATCTACGCTTGAGAAAGCGCATTGGGGCCCAGCTGGCATCACAGTAGATTACCAAGCGTTGCGCTTCTTGTTCCTCGATGGTTGCTTCGGGAGATGGGAATCTCTGGTAAATGCCTCTTTGGCTTTTCATGAATTTCAACACTGATCTCAAAGCCTTTTCATGGCGATCTTGCGGTGTGGCCATGCCTGTGGCTAGCAAAGCTATGTATACATTGATGAAAACATATGTTTGGGACATCCAGGACTGTTTGCCTAAGGCTGCTCTGTACCGCATGGCCGCATCTGGGGATAATTCATCAGACTTGGAACTGTCTTCAAGTATCGGTCGAAGATCTGGAGGATTTATACTGGCAGTGCTGATGCTGTAGGCCTCAAACATACCATCTAAATAGTTTTCATCCAGACTGATGGTAATCTCTTTGCTGTTGGATTTTCTTTCGATGTTGCGGCCAAGAAAACGCAAACTGCCACCCCCTTCAAAACTTCGCTCTATAAGCCCCGTGCGTTTTACTTTTAGGTGTAGGGCCAAATGGTCTTGAACGGCAACTGCAAATACCTTACTCGGGGCAAACACGAGCAGATCATCAACGTATGCAACTACTTGCACCCATGCCTTTCCATGCCCTTTGACTGAAACTTCTCCAGAAAAAACAGTTGTTTCAATCAAAGACGGTTTGATTCCTACCTCTTGCAGCAAGTGGCTTAAGTGTTCTACCCAAGCCAAACCGCTTGTTCTCAAGCCATTTATGGCCTTGAATGCTTCGAGGAATATCGGGCTACCATCTGGAAACTGCATAGTATTTGGTGGCATCTTCAGAATGACTTTGATGGGTTTGCCAAGACGCCGGCCTAGCGGAGAAGCCATGAATGCAGCACTGATGTCCAGGCCTAGAATCACCAGGTCCAGGACTGCTGCTTCTGCAATGAGGATTCTCAAAGATTCAATGCTGGAAGTAGGCGAAGAAACCATGAGGTCACGGGCAG